GGATTTGGAAACTCGGTGAGCTCCTGCCTGGGAGCCACTGGTGTTACCGCGTGCAGTCCAGCGGCACCCAGCCGCGGGGAGGACGGACTGCTCGCTCCACCAAGGGTCCCGCTGCTCCTCCGCTTTCTTTGCGGCCCACTTTCAGCATAAAATGCAATGTCCCCTCCCGCCCATACGGGTCTGTGTTGCTGGCCACTCCCTCCCTCGCCCCCCAGTCCAGGCCCTGGAAGACGCCAGAATGACCGAGCAGGTGCATCCGAAGAGGCAGAGCCCGATCTGGGGCGGACGAACAACAGGTGCAACCGTGCTGCTGCCGTAGCCCGCGCCAGTCAGAGCGCCTGCTCCACGGAGGCCCGAGCCGGGGTGGGGTCAGGTGGGCCAGGCCACAAGGCGCTATTGCCGCCAGCTGGGGCGGCGGGGCGGGGGAGAGAGGGAGCGGGTGGGGGCCTTAGCCCAGGTTGGGGAGAGGCGAGGCGCCACCTTCTCTCCCAGCCTGTCACGCGCAGTTCTGATGCGGCCGTCACCTCCGCCTGGCCAGTGTCCTCCCCACCCTTTGGACAGAACTGCGCTATGCACCTGCTTTCCCATCGCTTTCCAGTGAGAACGCAGCCAGCGGCACGCACACGACGCGCCCCTCCCCCAGGTGCCTGAAGCCGTAAAGAGGCGAATTACCTCACGGAAGACCCCACGCCAGCACCAGCGAGGCCACCGCGCCGCTCCCGCTCGGCGTCGCCGCAAGCCCTCACCCCGGGGCTGCCACGCGCGGCCCCAGAGCCTGAGCCCAGGCAGGCGCGCGCCCCGCTCTGCCTTCATTCATTCCCTCATTCCCTTTTTAAGTAAGGGAGCTCCAGGCCTCTCCGCGCCCAGGCCCGTCAGCCCGGCGCCGGAAGTGGCTTCGGGAGGGCAGCGCCTTGGCTGGGCCGTCCAGGGCCGCGGGCGGCTGTGTCGAGGGCCGCCCACTTCAGCACGTGGCCTCTCAGCACGTGGCTGACTCTGCACCCGCAAAGGGCAGGCGCCTCACCCCCGGAGACAGGAGAGGGGCAAACTCAAGGCTGCTGCACAGGGCCCCGGCCTGCAGACTGCCCACGCTGGGGCGGACCCTTCCTGCCCCACGGAGAAGCCCGGCGGGCCTCACGGCCTCTCTGGCTGCCTGGACGCGGGCCAAGCTGCTTCGTTCCCCAGGGCTGACTTCACGCTTCGGAAGAGCCTCCAGCCACCCCAGGACTTTGCCAGCAAAGGAGATGGCCCCCGGGCTGGGTGGGGCTGGGGGAGAGGTGGGAACACCGGGCCCAAGCAGCCCGGCCAGGCAGGCGCGCTCTCGAAGAAACGGAGCACCAGCCTCCAACTGTGGAGAGCTGCCCCTTGCCCCCTCGGCCTGCTGCCTCCCGCGGTCTCCGCAGGTGCTCCCTAAAGAAGTCCTCACTCTCCGCCCAGGGCCAAATGGCGCGTTCCAGACTGCAGGAAAGCCCACAGGAGGAGGTCAGTATCCATCTGAGGCTCCAGGAACCCCTCCGAGGCCGGTTCCACCGGCACAGAGAGCCAGTGTGCTGGGGACCAGGGTAACTCTGGGTTTAACCTAGAGCCCAGCAGCACTCGCCCGCAAAGCCTCCGGCGCTACTGGGACCCAGGCTGTGCCTCCGTCCTCGCCGTCCCTTCCGGTTCACATGACTGCTGACAGGAGCCTGGGTGGACGGCATGTGGCCAGACCCCAGGACCCACTCAGGCTGTCTGCCCCCCACTCCCGCAGGCAGCATCTCCCAGGCAGGCATTTGTTCTCATTTCTGCTCCCTGCAAAGTTTCTACGCCCCTTGCACAGCCACAAGGGCCAAAAACCATGTCGGGGAGGAGAGGCGGCCTCGGCTTTCTGGCTGAGCTTCGGAATCAGACAGGCAGCTGGCGGTGTCTGCCTCCTCTTCCGGAGGCTTTTGTCCAGACAGTGGCTCCCACTCTCCCGCGCTTGCAGAAGTCTGCATACCTGGAGTGGATGCGGGCGGCAGGGCTCGTGAACAGAGTGGAATTTTCCATTTATAGAACAATGATCTCTGGCCGGCGCCGTGGCTCAATAGGCTAATCCTCCACCTTGCGGCGCCGGCACACCGGGTTCTAGTCCCGGTTGGGGCGCCGGATTCTGTCCCGGTTGCCCCTCTTCCAGGCCAGCTCTCTGCTATGGCCAGGGAGTGCAGTGGAAGATGGCCCAGGTGCTTGGGCCCTGCACCCCATGGGAGACCAGGAGAAGCACCTGGCTCCTGGCTCCTGCCATCGGATCAGCGCGGTGCGCCGGCTGCAGCGGCGGCCATTGGAGGGTGAACCAACGGCAAAGGAAGACCTTTCTCTCTGTCTCTCTCTCACTGTCCACTCTGCCTGTCAAAAAAAAAAAAAAAAAAAAAGAACAATGATCTCTGGGCCGTTCTCATGGTAGGAGCTCAGCGCTCTGTGTCAGCAAAGCTGCCCGGCTTCTGCAGGAGCCCACGGCACTCAGGACTCTTTATTTTTAGTGGGAGAGGGGGAGGAAATAAGAGGATGCCGTCTAACTGGAGTGCCAACACAAACTTGACAAAGGAACTGGGCTGGCCAGCGCAGAGTATCACTGCCTGGCTGCAGGACTTCCGCCGGCCGCTGGGACCTAGTTGGTGAAGAGGAGACCGAAACACGCGTCCCCAGCCCCTAATGGGACAGGAGTTGCACATGCACAGGCATCACTCTGCTGCCTCAAGTCCTCCCCGGTGCCTGCCAGCCCAGGCTCTGGGTTGCCGTCTGAGGGCAGGGCCAAGGCCAGAGGACATTGCTTTTCTCACTTCCCCCTCCCCACTTGATCACTGCTGATGCAGGCCCAGGCTGGGACTAGGACACCTGCTGTGTACATGGTGTAGCAGGCAGCTCCCCCCCACCCCTGCTGGGAGGGGTGAGGCCTGAGTCCTGGTTCCTGCTGTCACAAGACAATTGTGCTGTGGACCTTCATCCAGTCTTCTCTGGATCTCATGCCCACGGCAGCATCTGCAGTGGGGAAGGGAGTAGTTTTCCTGGTCCCAATTGTAAGGTCCCATCCTTGAGGAGCCCTCAGCACCCAGAACCTTTCCTACTTTCAATTAAAAGTGGGTGGACAGGGAGGGGGAGTTGCACCCTTTCCTGGGAAGGGCAAGACCACCCTCTCAAGCTGCTTTGACACACAAAAGTTTTAATCCAGCTATTTTTTCTTTTTTTGCTCTTGTTTTCCATGTGACATATAAGAATCCATTGCCAGGGCTGATGCTGTGGCATAGAAAGTTAACCCTCTACCTGCAGCACTGGCATCCCATGTGGACGCCAGTTCAAGTCCCAGCTGCTCCACTTCCCATCCAGCTCCTTGTTAATGGCCTTGGAATGCAGTGGAAGGTGGCCCAAGTGCTTGGACCCCTGCACCCACACTGGAGACCTGGAAGAAGCTCCTGGCTCCTGACTTCAGCCTGGCCCAGCCCTGGCCGTTATAGCCATTTGGGATGTGAATGAGCAGATGAAAGCTTGCTTTCTCTGCTTCTCTCTGTGTCTCTCCTTTCAAATAAATTAATTAAAGAAGAAATCCATTGCCAAATCCCAGGGCATGAAAATTTTCCCCTGTGTTTTTCTTCTAACACTTGTATGGTTCTGGTTCCTACGGTGAGGTTGTAGTCCCACCTTGAGCCGGTTTTTGCACACAGTATGCGGTGTTGCAGGCTAACTTCATTCTTTTGCATGAAGCATTTGTGCAAGAGACGACTTTCTCACCATCTGCTTTCCTACACTGCTCCACCCTAGCGGTGGCCGATGCCAGGACCCGGGTCATCAAACCCAAGGCTGTGTAACTTGCAGCTACTCATCACTTCTGCGTCACACCCAAAGAGGAGACAGTGCGATCTCCCCAGGATACAGCTGCCAGGCTGACCAGGCAGAGATGGGTCTCAGCTGCGTGTGGGTCTGTCAGGCGAGTTCAGACACACATCATGTGGAAAGTGCCTTGTCGAAACAGAAAGGTGGGACTTTGTGCCAACAGCAGCATTTTCATACTTGCTTCGCGGGAAGCCCCAGGGGTTTTCATCTACATGCTGTTTTTCAGAACTGTACCGAAAGGCCGTCCTTAGCTGCACAGAAGGCGGGGAAGGTGACCACTTTGCTTCCCAGCGTCTCTCTGAAGAAGGCACAAAGGACAGCGGGTGGTCCTGCAGCCGCCGCCAGGAGCCAGGCTGTGCACACCTGTTCACAGCCTGCTGATAAATACACTGCAGGTTGAATTGGCCTGTTGCAATTCCAAACTCTTCAGATTCTGTTTCTTTAAATAAAAAACAAAAACATCTATTTTTACCAAAAAAAACTTTTATTCACTTCGAAGTATTAAATTATAACACAGAATACATTTTGCTTGTCAAATCACACACACACCGCAGACTTCGACCGAGGTTCCAAGGGCCTGAGGAGCTGCGCAGGCCCCGCAGTCGCGGATGTCCTGGGCTCTGCACACCTGCTGGGCAGCCTCGGCCGCTTAGGACAAGCAGCTCAGTGAACCTGAGCTTCCTGCGGGGACCGAGCCCGAGAACCGCGCTCACGCGCGCCTTGCAAGCGGGGACAATCGAGGGCTGGGCGACCCTGGCGTGCGCGCAACACCCTCCGTTCGAGACCCGACCCACAATGTTGGAGAGACGAGGGGAGGCGACAGAGGGTTTCTCGGACTGTGGGCCTGGGGCCGCTCAAGGCCCGGGGCGGGGAGCGTGAGCCCTGGGCCCCTCACCACCAGGCAGGTCCACCTGTTCCCCACTCGAGGCGCAGCGCCGGACGAAAGCAGGCCGAAGCCGCCGCCCCTCACCTCCCAGCGGCGCGCGCAGTGCACGCCCCCTCCCCGACTCCACCAATCAGCATCCGGAGCGGCGCCCGTGGCGCGGGGAGGGGGGAGTCTCTGGTCCTCAGCCAATGAGCGCGGCGGCCCGAGGCGGCGCCTCGCCGCCCCCTCCAGAACGAAAGCCTCCTGCAGCTGGCGAGGGCCGTGGAGCGCACTGGGCGCGGGAGCCGCGCGGGCCGGAGCGCAGCGCGCACGCCACCCGTCCCCGGCGCGCCTGCCCGCGCTCCGCCTCCGTCCTGGGCGCGGCGCGGGAGCCGGGGCGGGGGAGCGCAGGGGGCAGGGCCGCGGCGGCGAGGAGGGGGCGGGGAGGAGCGGGCCCGATAAAAGGCTGCGGGGCGGCCCCACCCCGCGGCAGGCCGGCCGCAGGCTCCGCGCGTTCCTTCCGTCCGGCCCGCGCCGGCGGCGGGGAGACGGCGCGCGGCCCGCAGCCCGCCCATGGAGGCTTTCCCCTGGGCGCCCCGCTCGCCCCGCCGCGCCCGCGCCCCCGCGCCCATGGCGCTCGTCCCCAGTGCCCGCTACGTGAGCGCCCCGGGCCCGGCAAACCCGCAGCCCTTCAGCTCGTGGAACGACTACCTGGGGCTCGCCACCCTCATCACCAAGGCGGTGGACGGCGAGCCGCGCTTCGGATGCGCCCGCGGCGGAGACGGCGGTGGCGGCAACGACGGCTCTCCGCCTTCCTCCTCTCCGTCGTCCTGCTGCTCCCCGCACGCGGCCGCCGGGCCTGGCACGCTAGGGCCGGCCCTGGGGCTGCCCGACTACGACGAGGACGACGACGACGACGACGACAGCGACGAGCTGGGCTCCCGGGGCCGCTACCTGGGGGGCGCGCTGGAGCTGCGCGCGCTGGAGCTGTGCGCGGACCCCGCCGACGCCGGGCTGCTGGAGGAGCGCTTCGCCGACCTGAGCCCCTTCGCCAGCCGCGCGGCCGCCGTGCTGCTGGGCTGCACGTCCGCCGCCGAAGGGACGCCGCGCGAGGAGCGCGCCGCGGCGTGGGCGGCCGAGCCCCGGCTGCACGCGGCCTCCGGGGCCGCGGCCGCCCGACTGCTCAAGCCCGAGCTGCAGGTGTGCGTGTTCTGCCGGAACAACAAGGAGGCGGTGGCGCTCTACACCACGCACATCCTGAAGGGCCCCGACGGGCGCGTGCTGTGCCCCGTGCTGCGCCGCTACACGTGCCCCCTGTGCGGCGCCAGCGGCGACAACGCGCACACCATCAAGTACTGCCCGCTCTCCAAAGCGCCGCCTCGCAGCGCCCGGGACAGCCTGGCCGGCAAGAAGCTGCGCTGAGCGCCTGGCCGGCGCCGCCCTGGGCCCCACTCGGGACGTGGTCTTGGCGGCTTGGCAAGGCGGCCGGCCCCGCGGACGACTTTCCAGCCGAGCGGTGGGGCCCGGACGCTTGGGCGCTGGGTTCTCGTGAGCGCCACGTCCAGGACGGCGAGGGCCGGGTGTGTATTCCTCTGGCTGAGCGCGGCACCCTCGCCGCGCTGTTTACCGTGTACTTGGACCCGTTTTAGATGCGCCATCAGTATGGAATCCCGCTCCCACCTTGGGGTGTTTCGTCCTATGTCTTGGAGGCACTTTATTAGCTCTAAAATATTTTTTAATGGCCTCTGAACCGAGCTTAAAACTGGTGGTTTTATGGAATGTCGGCAAAATGACTTATTTTATCGTTTTGATGCAATTGAGTTGTCCGTAATCAGTTACCCTAATTCCAGGTGGAGCAAATGCCGGTTTAGTGAACTTCCCAGCATTCGCTTGGGCGGGGCTCGCTTCCACCCAGGCGGGAGGTGTAAGACGCGCATCTGTAGCAGATTGAATGCAGCTCATCTTTTTCTGTGCCAGATCTTTTATTACTCAACTAGCAAATGGCCTTTTTCACATTTAAAACTTGTGCCAAGTCCTAATCATATTGTGTGTACACTTGGAAATGGTGCTGTTTTAAAAAACCTGGTGTATTTATATGGTGATAGTATATGAATTTATTAATCTCACAACCTGTTCTACGGGGCACCTACCCCCACTTCAAAGCTAAAATGTTTAAGACCAAGGGAGCAGTATTAGCCTGAATTGCTCGGGTTCAGCGCTGCAGCGGAGGAAAGCCCATCCCAGCTGCTGCCTCCCTAAGGAGGGGTCCCTGGAGCTGAGAGGTTAATGTCATGACGTGTGCCACAAAGGGCTTCCCTCGGCTTACACCAGCAGGGCCACTCTTATAAAGCACCTGCTGTTGGGGGCTGGCAGCAAAGAACAAAACCTCTCCTATGTTCCTGTCGTCTGGCCACCCACACCTCACCTTCCACTCTTTTTAAAAATCCGTTAGACACTACTGGCATTAGCCAGCTCCCTAGTGTCAAGACAGGAGGTAAAAACAAGACTGACTAACTGGAAACGCACAGACATATTGCTATCTGAAAATAGCAGCCACAGATTTACTCGGGGAGGAAGATTTAGCTACGGTATTAGGAGCTCAACTGCTGACATGAAACAGCTAACTTCCTGCACGGCAAATTGGCTTGATCTGGGACACTGGTTTCTAAGTGTAATCAAGGCTGGTTAAGCCCTTCTGGTCAGGCGCATCAGAACCAAAGGCCTGGCGAACAGGCAGTTCCTTAGCGGGGGAAGTGGGGCCCCCCTGCCTCTGCCAGTCTGAACCCCAGAGAACTGCACTCTAGTTGGGCCCCAGCCTAATAAAACCATGTAATTACTCATTCTGTTCTCTTGCTAGGAAATATACTGGTTAAAATTGGCTTGGCTTTTTGGGTAGCTTTTTTCAGGTCAAGTTACTCTCCCACTGTTCTTTTCAAATGGTCCTGGTAATGAGATGGACATGTTCTCCATGCCAGAAGGCCCAGGCAGGCAGACGAATGGAGCCACTTTGGACTTTGAACAGTCTCAGGCATGTGGCATTGGTATATCCTCAACACGTGAGTCCCTGTGATGGGATGTGCTTAACTCTAATCAGCTATTCTGTAACAGTTACTACCCAGGATGCACTGCAAGTAGTCTCTGAAGGCCCTCCCTCCCACACTGCACAGCCATGATTTCAACCCATTTAAAAAGCACCCCCACTCCTGCTACATATGCCTGTGTTTCAGCTAACTGTGTGTGACTGGGAGGTACTGCATACACAGGGAATGTCACTCTAATTTTCTATAGTTCTCTTATGGAACGAGTATACTTAGCCACATTTTAAAAGCATCCCTGAAATTCAATGTGAAAATTGTAAACAGTTTACAAAGATACCTTCTACTGGAGAACCCACTGCAGGTGGCTGGGAACAAAGCTGAAGTCCTCTAAAGACCACCACTCGCAGTGGGACTGGTGTCACCACTTCACCTGCTCCTTCCCATTCACACACCACCAGTGGCATTTTTTACTTTTTGGGTTATTTTAATTTTCCTAAATTTTTTTAAGTTGCTCCATTGTTAGCTTTGACTTAACAAAACTTTTAAAACTATACCACAAATACACACACACACACTTCCAGGGAAAGAGAAAGTGTGTTGGTCCTAATATTCTAGTTTTGTTTTTTGGTTTTTTTTTTTTTTTTTGACAGAGTGGACAGTGAGAGACAGAAAGGTCTTCCTTTTGCCGTTGGTTCACCCTCCAATGGCCGCCGCAGCCAGTGCACCGCACTGATCCAAAGCCAAGAGCCAGGTGCTTCTCCTGGTCTCTCATGCGGGTGCAGGGCCCAAGCACTTGGGCCATCCTCCACTGCACTTCCGGGCCACAGCAGAGAGATGGCCTGGAAGAGGGGCAACCGGGACAGAATCCGGCGCCCCAACCGGGACTAGAACGCGGTGTGCCGGCGCCGCAAGGTAGAGGATTAGCCTAGTGAGCCGTGGCACTGACTCTGAGGAACATTCCCTTCCTAAAGCCCATGCCTTTCAATTACTTATTAAAAATTCAAAGTCACCCATCTGTAATGACTGGTAGGGATGGATGTGTAGACCGGTGGTAAAATAGCTCTGTCCCACATCGTTGTGCCTGCATTCAACAAATGCAGACTGCAGGAACAGCAGTGACGGCTCGAGTGATTAGGCTCCTGTCACCCATGTGGACACCCAGACTCAGTCCCAACAGGGGCCACTGTGGGCACTTGGGAAATGGGCCAGCAAATTAAAAACCAGCTGTCTCAACATTAAAGCATCCTCCCACAAATGGATGCCAGCCTTCTGCTGTGGATAACTAATGGGATGTCGTCTGTGGGTGGACAATGATGTTTCCACCCTCGGATCCACCTATATTAACAGCAATGTTCCTCAAACATGCAGAGAAGCCCCTGAGACAGGCCACCTAGTGTATCAGTGAGTAGGTGGGTGATTTCGCTTTCCTTTTAGCATGTACTACAAAGGAGCGAGAGGGTTTTAAGGCCTGGAGAGAGGAAATCACAGGATCACAACACTGCAACTCTGCTGGCTGCCCCCAGGACAAAGCCACTGGCGGGCCCGCGCGCCCGGGGAAACGGCCCGAGCAGAGAAGGTGGGTGGGCCTGCAGACCAGCCTCAGAACCCCCATCACTCATGCAGCGGTCATCTCCGTGAGTGACTAAATGGGGCCTTTCTGTGATGTCACGTGACAGTTCTCTCTTGACCCCCGCTGGGGGTGCTATCCTCAAGAAAAATCGATGTTCTTCAAGCCTTTCACTTGCTATGAGAGGAAAGGTCCTTTCCCCCACAAGGCCTTTTAAGAGGTCCAGATGCTTGCACCACTGCACAGGAAAGCGCTCTGAAAAAGCAGGTGCACACGGACGGCTGCGTCTGCCGCTTCAAGGAAAGATGTGCCGCGACTCCCTCTTCTGGCCTGCGAGCTGCACCGGCGGCAGGGGAGGAATCGCCACTGCCCAGCGGGAAACGGCTCAGCCACCAAAAATTCACAACTGGTATCTTCTGAAAGAAACTAGGATTCCTCAATTTGAGCTGAAAGCATTAGTGCTCACACACACAACATGCACGCACGCACGCTCAGGAGAGAGCGTCACGGGAGAACCCAGGGAGGGCACTTCAGGGGAGCACCTCGGCCAAGTGCAGACTTCCCATGTGGTACTCGGGTGCATTTCTGTTTCTGTGAAACACCACAATGGCTCTCAAGTAGCATAAAGCCAGCTGAATACTCATACTTACCATCGTCAACAACACTAACTACGAAATCAACACTAAAACAAATTCTGTAAGTATTTTATTTATCACTGAAGAAAAAACACAGCAGCAAGTTCTGTGTTGGCTTCAATAAGACCAAATAGTTAAATCTTTAACATAGCTATTACACTCCAAAATTGAAGTCAACACAGTCATTACTACAAATTACTTGTTGAAAGAATCTATCCTGAAGAGAAAATTAGGAAAGAGAATTTAAACAGTTCCTCCAAACCACACATTTATAAATATTGTCATATTTAAAATGCTTGAAAGGCATGAATTCTCCATTAAGGGAAAAGCAGTTTGCTATTGGCAACAGAAAACTCAGCGACAGTTTACCAAATGCTTTAAAATTTAAAAGCTGTATTGTTTGGGATTCACACTGGAGCATTATTCTTATTACAGTGACTGTAAATTGCCTTATACTCACCTTCTCTCAAGTAAAAGCTACAGGAAATCCCACTGTAGCCAATGTTTGTGATGTTTACTGCACTAAAGTGAATCTAAAATCTTCCAAATTCAGTTAGCAGTAAATACCTCAAAATATCTAAAAGAGGTATGTTCCAACCACTAAGTGATGTGAAAATTGTTTCAGATCCATTGCATTAAAGGGTCTTCAAATACATTTTCTTTCACAGAACCTTATTCCAAATTCTCATTCCAAATTAAAATATTTCAAAATCAAAAAAAAAGATCAGTTCTATACCAAGATACAGGTGTTACTCAATACCTGAAGGGTTCACATTTTAAATTTATTTTTTTAGTTTTCCTTTTTTGTAAACAAATGATTGATGAAATAATGCAACACCTTAAATTCCAGAAAATGGCATGGTTTTCCAACTCCTGCGGATATGGTGCATGATCAATCTATTATATAGGATTAATACAAGTTCATGCTTTTGTGTTATGGTGAAACAATATTAAAGAATCCAATTTAGATTGGTTGAAGCACAAGTATAATAATCCTGAATGGGATCAAACCTAGGTAAGATAGGAGTTTGAATCCATCATCTGGGAACTTAGCGTCGCACCGTGGTCCATCCATCTTCATCAGTCTCATTTTTAGTACGACGAAGAGATTCCCTGTCTTTCTCAGCTCTCCAGGAGGTCTTCTCTTTTTCACCTTCTCTTTCTCTTTCTCTTTCCCTTTCCCGGTCCCGGTCCCGGTCCCGGTCCCGGTCTCTGTCTCGATCTCTAGAAAGAACTGGGGGAGGAACTCGACGAGGAGGATCCCGCTCCTCTGCGCGGTCATCTTTCCTGTCATCAGCACGCCTCCAAGAACTTACTAAAATGTTGAATTAAAAAAAATAAAGAACTAAGTTTGCAGTATACAAGTAACACTGGCTCAAACTAAACAAAACAAAGCAAAGCAAAGGGCGGCTTGCTTCAAATCATTCAGAAATCCTGAACTAAGGAATCATAATACAGGATCACAATCAAAAGCTAGTAAGAGCTACCTTACTATTTCAATCATTTTAATATAATTTGACAAGATTGTCTGACTCACAGTTATAACTCACAATTTGAAAATAAGAATTATTGGCCTGAGGAATGTCTTAACTGGTGTGAATCTTTAAGGCAGAATGATAAATTTTAAAATGGATTTTTTTGCTGCTTATTAAAAAATTTTACCAGCAAATCAGCCATAAAATTTTGGTAGTTTTAAATTATGGCTATAACAGAAGGATCTACTGTGCAGACAAAATATTAAGTTTCCAAGACACTGAGGGCAATGAATGTTTTAACCATACTCAGAGTATTTGCTAAAAGTAACTATGTGGATAATCAGTTTCTTCACTTGCACTAAGCTCTGCCTCTCTGCTTGCTACCCCTATAATCCATCAGTCTACCACTGTGCTTGCTAAGAAGTTAGTGACCAGCTCCCTCTCACAGCTGGACGGCTAAGTAGGGGTCCTCAGATCCTAAATGTAATATACTTCGCACCCCATCGGCAGCTGATGTAACCACCTTACCTTCATCACGCTCTGACCTCAAGGGAGGTCCTCTCCGGTCCCGATCATCCCTCAGATCCCGTCTGTCTCTCAGGTCCCGCCGGTCGTCCCTTTCACGGCGCCGGTCGTCCCTATCCCTATCATCTCGGCGACTCGAATCTCTCCAGCTTGAGGCTTCCTCAGCTGGTCCTCGCCTCCAGCCACCTTCGTCCCTGCAGCCATGTAAAAGCCAAAGGACGAGTTAGGTTCTGTTCTTTGCTGCTGTTTGCACTACCTGGGTAACTACCAGGTGACAACATGACATCCACACTGGGGCTCAAAATTCATGGAAGTGGAGACCAAACTTAAACTCATCACTGGACCTCCATCTGAATTCTTCAGGCAGGGAGAGCAACTGACAACACCCGGCCTGGGCCGCCCCCACAGCAGCCACTACTCACTTTTGGCTTCTTCATGGTTAAATAAAGTCCAGACATTGCCTCAGCAGCACTAACCACATTCCCAGCACTCAACAGCCCCACGCGCCTGCTGGCTGCCACAGGACAGCCCAGACACCGCGCACGCCCTCCCTGCACAAACTGCGCTGCACAGGCTCTCCTGCATTTATCAGTGCAAAGCCACCTGGGCAGATGGGACATCCTAGAACCAAATGTAAGTAAAGAGGCTTTTGAAAACTTACGGGCAACACACTGACTTTTCTATACCACAGGGCAAACAGTGAGTGGTAAAGACATGTGGACTGGTCTCATCACCAGTCCAAGCCTCCATCTTACCATTGGAACGGGGAAGATTCAACTAGATCATCTCTAAAAGTTTCTGTATTCCATACTGATTCTAAGAAACAGGTGGGTGGAACAGGGTGACGGTGGGAGTGGCTGAGCAACACCATCTCTCAAAACAGCTTGGAATACCCAGGAAAGAGCTGAAGGGAAGCGGGACCATAACCCCCCACAGCGTGGGGAAAACTCCCCACCTGGGTCTTCTGAAGCGCTCCTCTCGGTCCCCGTCCCTCTCCCTGTCTCTCTCTCTTTCGGGGTCCTTGTCGTTCTCCTCGCGGTCTGGGTTGTCCCTGTCTCTTTCTCTCTCCCATTCACGTTCTTCGGGTGGTCTCGATTCTCGGGGAGGGCCCCAACTCTCCTCTCTGGCTTTTTCTTTCTCTCTCCATCCACCTATATTTTTAAAACAGCAAAGTTACTTTTTTCACTCGAAAAAAACGACTGGCAATCATGCATATAGAGCTTAACGCTGGCATTAATTCCTTCACCATCCTAAAGTGCTAACTCTAGAAATGCCATTTTAAAACTTCACTAGGAAAGAAACCACTCAAATCTGTACATGCGGATTGAGTACAAAACCCGTTTTGATGTAAACAGATTGCTCATTTAAGGAGAAAGGTTAAGAGTGATCTCTGGAGGATCAGAGAATCTGTCTACTTAAAAATTGTAACCTCAAAATGCACAATTGTGGCACTTGCCAGGAGACAGAGTGAGCAGCTTCCCAATAACCGGCTCATTCCCCAAATGCCCACATCAGCAGGGACTAGGTCAGACTAGGAGCTAGGTGCTTAGTCCCAAGTCTCCAACATGTGAGCAGGAACCCAAGCCCTCAGCCATCACCACTGCCTCCCAGGGTCTGCATCATGAGGAAGCTGGAAGTCAGAAGCCAGAACCAGGAATCAAGTCTAAGAACCCTGAAACAGAGAGTGGGCACCTTACCCTCCAGGCTAAACATCAGTCCCTTGGTATGCCTTTTTATTCTAAGGTATATTTATTAATTTGAAAGGCAGAGTTAGAAAGAGAAATCTTCCATCCACTGGTTCACTCCCCAAATGGGCAGGGGCTGGGCCAGGCCAAAGCCAGGAGCTTCCTCAGGGTCTCCCACATGGGTGCAGGGGCCCAAGCACTTGGGCCACCTTCCACAGCTTTCCCAGAGAGCTAGATCTGAAGTAGAGCAGCCAGACTTGAACCAATGCCCTTATGATCCCATCTGCCAGTGCCATAGGAGGCAGCTTTATCCACTAGGCCACAGCACCAGGTCCCCCTTAGAGCACTTTTATAGGCACTCAATGAGTAGAAAAACCTGTAGTCATTTGACACAAACACCATGCTAGATGAAGTTGGCCATCTTCTGCCTCCTTGTTTCAACTGTCAACCTAGAAAGAAGTATCCTTTTTGAAGGCTGTACTCAGAACAGTGTTATAATTTTGTTGATTTCACAGGTTAAAATGGTCCCCAAGCATAGTACTGTCATAGTTTCCCAAGTACAGGAAGGCTGTGATGTGCCTTAAGGAAAAAATATGTGTATTAGGCAACTTTCTTTGCCATGAGTTCAATGTTAATGAATCAATATTGTTATATATTAAATAAAGTATCTTAAAACACAAAGATGGGCTCTGCTGTGCTGTGGTGAAGCTGCCACCTTTGTAAAACCGGCATCCCATATGGGTGCCAGTTCGAGTCCAGCTCCCTACCAATGTAATGTGCCTGGGAAAGCAGCAGAAGACAGCCCAAGTGCTTGGATCCCTGCACCCATGTGGAAGACCTAGAGGAGGCTCCTGGCTCCTGGCTCCGGCATGGCCCAGCCCCAGCCCATTTGGGGAGTGAACCTCTGGATAAAGATATCTCTCCCTTTCTATCTCTGCATCTTTGCCTTTTAAATAAATCTAAGTTGGGGGGAAAAAAAGGGCATAAAACATGGCTCTCAAAAAGCTGTAACCTCTCAGGCTCACAGGAACCTAACCTTACACTTCCTCAGTATTCAAAGCTACTTTACAAAATACAACAACCACCATTTAAAAGGATTTACTGTCAGGCCAGCACAACAGGTTGAAGTCCCAGCCTGTAGTGCCAGCATCCCATGAGCACGGTTCGAGTCCTGGCTGCTCCATTTCCGATCCAGCTCCCTGCTAATGTGGTTAGGAAAGCAGGAGGATGGCCCAAGTCCCGGGTCCCTGAACCCATGCACAGAGGAAGTTCCTGGCTCCTGGCTTTGGAACAGCTCAGCTTCGGCCACTGCAGCCATTTGGGGAGTGAACTAACAGAGGGAAGACCTCTCTTCCTCTCTACCTCTCTGTAACTCTTTCAAATAAATCTTAAAAGAAAGAAATCCACAATAGTGTTAACTCTACTTACATTAGGCACAGAAAAATTAAGTGGCTTGCCCAGGACCACAGCTCAACTGTGAGACAAGAAGAATGCAGCAGATAGCTCTACGAGTAAAAGCAAGCAGGCTGCTCACTTAGATCTGAACGTAGAACACACTGCTCTAGTGACTGCACTGTCCAGCTCTGACCTCCAGCTTCCTGATAATGAGGGGCCTCAGAGGCAGTAGTGATGGCTCGAGCAGTTAGGTTCCTGCCTCCCAGCTTAAGCCTGGCCCACTCCCAAACACTACAGGCATTTAGGGGGGCCAAACGGTGGACAAGAAGCATGGTCTTGGTCTCACTCTCAAAACTAGAAGCAAAGCGGGGAGGACTAGAGGGGGCCGGTGTTGTGGCACAGCACATCAAGCTGCCTCTTAGGAAACTGTTCCCAATTCCCACTCAGCTTCCTCTTAATGCATCCTGGTTGTCAGCAGATGATGGCTTAAATGCTTGGGTCCCTGCGACCCAGGAGGACACCCAGATGAAGTTCTAGGCTCCTGGTTATTACAGTCTGGCTCAGCCACGGCTGTTGTAGGCATTTGAGAAATGAACCAGCAGATGGAAGATACCTCTCTGTTGTTCTGCCTTTCAAGTAAAG